TTGTAAAATTTAATAAACGAGATGGTCGCAAGTTTATTTATTATATCGTTAAAAGCATAGATATTTAACGGGTAAAAAAATGATTAAGTAATTAAACTTTAACATTAAATATCTTTGTAATTTTTGGACAATTAAAAAAAAACTTGACTTTTTATTGATTTTTCTATAAAAAAAAACAAACAAAATAAATCTGGTCGAGAAGAAAATTGAAAACATTTCGGACGAATAATAGGTTTTCATATTTACTTGAGTTGTTTAAGATACTTGATCAATAGATCTCAATTAAATATAAGTTGATGTTTAAGGGGAAACATATTATGTTGATTGTTCTAAAAACGATTCGTGTATAATATAATTATCAAGCTTGTGATTTTTAGAAAGTGTTATTTTAATATTTTCAAAAAACAATAAATAAGTACTACTATTTTGGAAAAACAACACAATATTATAACGGATATATTTTAAATTTGTATCCGATATCGAACCTACTACTTTGAGTAATTAAACTACTGTATACACTCACAGTAATTACATAATATATAAATAATATGTATTTATGTGTGTTATATTGAAATTCAATCTCGAAAATAATAGTTCTGGTCTATAAAGTACTACAGCCGAACGCGTTAAAGATACTCTGGTGTATTATAACGTGTATTATAACCATACACAATAATAATATATTATCTTTACGATCGGATGTGTATAATGGCGTTGTGTCGAGCAAACGACGGTAGGTATATAGACTACACCTCGAAAACAACACTCGACGCGTAACGACATTAAGAACTATTGAGTACTGTTTGTGTGTTGTAGCAGTTATGGGGAAAAACTCCTTGTAAAATATAAAAGCTTTTTTTTCAAATATTCTAAGGCTTGTGTCGAAAATATGATAGCACTGTCCTGTAAAAGAAAAGATAATAATACGAATTTCTCTCTAAAGTATTTGTGATTTTAATCACAGTTTTTCTGCACCGCACCTGCAAATCTTTTAAGACACTCAAAAAAACAGTTGAAGGAGACATGAAAGTTAATCGCAATATAAAAACGGGGAAACATTAGTCTTACAGTTTTACACGGAAGTTAGTACTGATATATATATATATATATATATTTCTCTAGAAAAAACCGATATCAATACTTGTTTAAAATAATTAGGTTTTAACCTCTTATAGTGCGGTCTATTTCAACAAATCTCTCACTAAAAAATAAATGTAGGTATTTTTAAAAGCACTAATTATAAGTCTTAAGGTTTTTAGTGTTTCAAGCCACCCCCCCCTGATCCCCACCAATGAATATTCTTTCAAACCCGTCAACACACACACACAATACTAAGTACTAAATATATAATACTAAGAACTACAGCTTTAACCGTTTTAGAACCTTCATATCATTATGCACACACTTGAAAGATCAAATATTCTTAAAATAACGAGTATAATATTATTATTATTGTTGTTGTTGTTGCTACTGCTATGTTTTCAGGGAAAAATAACTTCTCCAAAACTGAGTGGCGACATCTTAACATTTATGTGGCCGCCTAGCCTGCCACGATGAATAATCCGACTTGTCGACTTTACAATCTCATCCGCCTGGCACTTATAATTCCGTTAAAACACCCGGTTGACAGGTTTCAGGCTACACAGCCGCTGCCAAGTTTTGACAATTAATGTTTTCCAAGGAAATCCGATATTTCTCCACCTCGTGGAAGTCGACCATGAAACGCTACTGCACTTAAGACGACCGTGAACACAACACCGCATTGAACACCAATGTTGGATAGCTTAATAAACGGTCTACATAATATTAAACAAGTATATAGTGGTATAATAAGTTTGAGCCAGAATTGTTTGATGGTTTTCCAACTACAACGGATAAATGCATTCACACAATATAAATAATATAGTAATACCATCATCATTTAGGTTATTGCATTGTCAATTACATAAAATATTGTGAACTTTCCTACCATAATGTCATATAATATGCTTTAAGACAACTACTAAACGTTTATCCGGCCCTGGAAAGCAGTATAACATTTTTTATGACATTCTAAATGATCTTGCGTACACTCAACCAAGCCAGTATCCGCCATCGGTGTGTACTTTGCGGGTTTTAACTGCGGTTCGCTTGTCCGAAAGCGAAAATCGCCGGCGTGCAGGGCAGGGCTTAAGCATAACCGAGAGGCGAAGGGCAAAAGACGAAGGTCCGACGACAAAATGGCATCCCACGGGAGATGCGCACAAGGGAGATGTAATAAGACACATGGGGTTTGTTTTCTTTGTTATAATATTCTATCGGGGGGTGCACCACAGCTATTTTTATCTGCACCGAGCCATATTTTTCTCTTCTCCCTTCGTTATGGGTCCAACATAAAAATCTTTAGAAACCAGACGGTTTTTCTTTCATTCGACGGTCGGGTATTATATATATATATATATATATGATTATGGCCACCGTGTGGCGTTTGTATAAAAAAAATATATATATATATATATAATATGTATGTGTGTATTTGTGTAAAATCGGAGAGGACGTAAGTTCTTCGTAGCCCGCGGTATATAGTCTCATCCGATTTGGATCTGTTGCCGGCGGTGCAATACGAACGCGCGAGTATAAGGGAAAAGAGAAAAAATGAAGAGATATTCAGAAATATTCAGAGAAATAAAAAAATACACCACCGAAGCGCATAAAATAACGGCCTACGCCGTCGCCGAATAATAATAATATTATTATTAACCGCGCCAGTAGGAATATATTATACGCGTATTACAGTATGTAAGTATATTATAATATTTTCCTCTCCGCGTTCGGCACAATACCTAGGTATGTATTAAATCAAAAGAATATCGTTGGAGAATTTGTGTGTACTTGCCATTCACGATACCTACTACCTATGTACTTACCTACCTATTATGCATGTACGATAGGGGTGGGCGACGACCTTTGGTTATTTTTAAATTTTTTTCTCAAGTGACGTGCAAAAGCTCCGGCCAAATCCCGTATTATATTATACCACTATATAGGTACTGTACTATGATAATTTATAGAAACCGTAATAGTCGTTATTACGTTGTCGTTTTCTTCGCGCGTCACGCCAACAACTTGAGGGTCAGCTCAATTTTGATAAAAGGTTTTTTGTTTGTAAGTATGTATGTGTATGTGTGTGTGTGTGTTGCCCAAAGTTCAGTTCGATTATTTTGACGGATGGGAGAACTGTTTCGTCGGCACACACCGTACCTATACGACTTAGGGTCAACCTCGTTAATGAAACACGGAAGCCTCGGGTACAAACGGTTGTTTTAATCTAATCCATTACCGCAACGGCCACACGAAAGCCCCTCCCCTCCCCTGCTCACTCCATCTTACACATACATACATACACACTAACTAGCTCCATTGCAAAACGTTTTATTTTTGCATGCCAAACGTTACGTAAACCGTGGTTTTGCATGGCTCAAATTGTAAAATATATTATCATTTATTATAAATCTTGTGTGGAATTTTATTCAGTTGAATTTATTTTTCAATATAAATAGGAATCGATTTGTGGTCTGAAAATATTCTTATTATAAATGCAGAATATTATGTTAGTCTCTACTCTAATACTATACCCAAGAGGATAATTACAAAGTGTCAAAAAGTACAGAGTTCAGTTATATTTATACATTATTCCCACAAATTGTTAAACAAAAAACTATTATAGTTCCATACAACGCGGTTCTATACAGCCAAAAATATAGTTACTCTAGACCAATAGCCAATGAACTGCTTTTACTCATTGTTAACAACATGTATATTGTGTTGCAACTTGCTTGTCGTTTGATATTATTAATTATTTTATATAATTATATTATTTTTTGGAATTTTAATTTCAGTAAGTGTTCAGTGACAAAAAAAAAGTCAAAACTTACTAAACCACAATATAAACGACAGAGCCTAACTAATTAATCTTACTGGAATGTATTAATGCTTTGATTTCCCCATAGTATTTACAAATCTGAATTGTTTTAGTGAAAAAAGTATCACTTATAAGTATAATGTTTGTTTAAGAATTTGAATTTAATCGATGTAGGTATGCCTGTAATGATAAAACGTATAAGATATATTTAGGAAATAGTATTGAAATATTTAAATCATTAATATTTGTCTTTTTGCTAAACTTTGTTGTAATATTAAATGTTTAAATCAAATAAAAAAATGTAGAGTTTAAAAGTGTTAAAAGAATGTATACGTCTCTTAAATAGTATAATAATTATTATCAAAAATATTAATAATAAAGACGATCTGTTAATGATATTTGACAGTGTGATATAATAATTGTTCACCTACTTTGTAAAAAAAAATATTTTTGATAGTCAACTTCAAATATAGGTATAAACAAGTAAGTTAGTAAAAAAAAAATATCACAACATAAAATTTGTCTTTCAGTGTTTTTTTTATCCATTATAATAATAAATATGTACAATCAAACGTTTGTATTATGTTTTCCCTGTGGGTAATCATGAAACACACTTGTATTGAATGGGTTTTTTTTTTACTAAAAGCATAACGATTATCTTAAACAAAAATACAGGGTGTTTGTGGTGTTTTAATTGGTTCTGGAGGGTGGCAAGGACGACGGTGACGTTAGATAAAAGGCGGAAGAGCAGAAGTTTGCGCTCAAAGCGCTCTCACCCGCTGGGACGGCTTATTAGCAAACGGATCTCTTTGTGGTATTTAAGCCGTCGCGTTGAACATGGTACAGGAGGAGTACCACGAGGGAGAGAGAGCGGATCGTCACTAAAACGACTGAGATGTATATTATGTAGTTTTTTTTACTAAGTAAGTGCTTAAGTTATTTGAAAAAAAAAATAGAGGGTGAAACGAAAGATCTTTCATAACAAATACGCGGCTAAAATAAAAACCTCGGTAAAAGAACGGCAGTATGTATGAATTTCGTAAAAATAATGACAAAAACAAGAACCGTTTTTTAAAAATAAAATAAACCGTTTTCTTACCTGTCTATGATGACCGGGTCGGATGGCGTTTCGTTTCTGTTGCCGCAGCTCTTCTTATCACAGCATCGACTACAAAAGTAAACAAACGGACAATGAGACATATTTTACTGGTATTATTGTGCTCGAGGAAAATTCATAATGTCAAACGCGAAATGACATATCATTATTATATTTGTCGTTTGGTATAACTATGTGCAATCGTTTGCCGGCCGAGCACCTGCACACGGTCTCTCTCGCGGGACTGCCGCCATACGTGTCACGGATTCTTTTTGTTTTGTTGAAAATTGAAAAATAAAAGTCATTCCGCTCATGACTTGGCACTAACCACCGGCGTGTCTCTCCCCATTTTCACCCCCGGTAAGTCGGTCGAACATTTGGCGGGCAAAGGAATGTTGTCCGACCGCGTACAACATGGGTAATAATATTATACATTACACGAATATAATAATAATAATAATGAGGGAGGAGCGTAACAGCCATAATATTTTTGGACCTTACATCGATTCATCATCATCTCTGTATTATATGCTTAACGGTGTTTTTCTTTTTTTTTTTTTTTAGCAAAGAAAATTCGCTGTCACCCCGAGAATTTTTGAAATATTATTACAGCGACACGTATACACTATGGACAACAAGAAAATAAATAATAATACCTAATAACAATACTGTGTACATTATAATATACGTTACCTGCACATGACTTCGTGCGTGAGCAACACCCGGCACATTTCTGGATTCTTGTCTTGGCCCTCGTAAATGATGGCCTGAAAAAAAATGGAATGACCTAAATATCAGTACACAATAATATGTATAATAATAACAATGATAATTATTTAAAATAAGCCAGTCAATACCGCACTAATCAATGAAAATATATAACAACTAATTGCCCGGGTCGGGTACACGGTAATAGCATTATTGAGTATAGATAAATGTTATAATTGTAAGTTAGAACTAATCTAAACAAAATACGTTTTGAAATCGGCGCACCAAATATTGTATTCTACAAGAGGTACAGCCTTTGTTGTATACGAATTAGTTAAAAACCTCATACGATGACAATTTACTATATTTTTACACACCAAACCTCATCAAAACATTTAGAAATATTATGTATGTATTTCAAAAAATTTCCGTGTGGGTTATTGTAGATTCATTTGAAAAAAATTAAAAATGAGCAAAATAAAAAAAACAAAAAAATACACTATACATCCCGTCCGAGCTTATAATATATTATATTATGTAACATATTAAAGGAGCTTAATGGCATTAGCGTTGTGTAATAGATTTTTAAACAACGGCTCTGATGGCGGTCCGTGCTGGGGTGTACGGGTTCGAACGTAAGACGGTTAATCCGGAGGTCTTAGGCCGGCTAGAATCAGGGGGTGCAATTTTATACGTTACTGGGGCTTTGCCTCGTTCCCCGGCATACCCTCTCCCCACCTCCTGTCCTCGAACGGGATTTAGTACACCCCATTTTGTGTAAGGCCAATAAATACCGTCTAATTGAATGCGTGTGCAAGCAAAAAACGTGCCCCATGTGCACCTACCCCACCCTCGGCGTGCCTAAAAATATTGATATTATAAATTCATAATATTTTGTACGTTATTATAGCGTACGAAAAAATGACTTGAGCGTATCTTTAGTAACGAATTACTATCTTATAATATGTAAAGTTGTTTGGCATAGGTATTGCCTAACTAAACAACCGCCCCTTGCGTTGGTTCTGACCGCGACTATTGCAAAAAATAAACGTAGTACTCACATAATATTATTGTTGTTTATTATAATTTTCAAAGTATTCCACTATATTTATATACGTATCCATGTAAACGGGGGGGGGGGAGGGGTACATTGTTGTACTGTTTGCGTTAATTCTACAATATGTTCATTTATAATAGATGTACCGTACTATAGCCGTTTGGTTAATTAAGTTTATGCGCACATCGCAAGTTTTAATAGGATCTACCAAGTGAAATTGCTTTGTCCAGTTTGGGCCTGACTGCAAGTTAATTAGTTAAACGTAAATACATAATTAAAAATAGTGCTTTATTGGTAGAAAAGCGTTTACCGCCAACGTTATACGTGTACACGTATAAGAATAAAATTGTTATCATCATATCTGTTATTCAAAAAACGGCTCTAAACCATTATACGCATTAGTTCATAGTCAGCGTATTTTTTTTTAAGATATTTTTTTATATTATTGCATTACTAGTCTTGAATCGTTTTTTTGATGAAAAGTTAGGATATTAGCCAATCGGGTCGTTATGCATATCAATATCGTGTGGGTATGTGTGCAACAACAAGCTCGGGTGTGGCCATGTGATGATGCAGTTATAATATAATTGCTCTCGGATAGGTGGACGAATGTGTGTGTGTATGTTTGTGTGTGCTGCAACTTGGCAACAAAACAAATAGATAAGGACTATAATATTAGCGTTTTGCAGTATCTCTACCGCTATGCCGAGCGTATAATATGACCTCCAGGCATGCCGTCACGCACACACAAACGTTGGTAACGTTATACGTACATACAATACTACTAATATCGTTATTATTATATTATGTGTACATGCATAATATTATAGTAAACATAACTTACTGAGTATCCGACAACTATAATACATACATATATATATACTTTCCCGAGGATGCGAAGGGGGTGTTGCGCACGAAGAAGTTATCCACAAGAGGAAAGGGTTTGGTACAGACGGGGCACACGCGTTCTATCCATGCAGTGCACATACACACACACATAATACCATAAGGTCATCCCTTGCTGTTAGTCATAAGCCTAGACCTCGCAGTATCGAACGGGGGGTGAGTGGGGTGATGGCGGAAAGAGTTGGTTATAATAATAGTGTACATGTAGACTATAGTAACATTGTAAATGCAACTCGTTACATATTTATTTTGGATTGGACGAACTTACACGGTGTAAAAAATACTATCATATTATGATAATAACAATAATATTATCTTCGTCCGACTATCGTGCACGCCTACAATGTACACCAGCTAGTGTATTATTAAGCTCTATCGAGTTGCACCATTATAGTAATATAATATAATAAAATATTCCGTTTTACAACCAAAACACGTGGCGAATGAAGTACAATATTATAATATACGACTCTCGCTAACTTATCGAATCGAGCTAATAATAATTAAGTATTGAATTAATTTCGTTAAAGTAAAAGCTGTTAGTAATATAATTGATAGATTACGTGTAAAAACGGTAATAAATAATTATGGTAATTTAAAAAAAATATCGTTGTTCAACTCATTTTCCAGTCTCGTTTTTTTCGGATATTCAAAATACAGCGTTGACCAGCGATTATGTGATATTATGAAATGTCATCATCGGTTTTGGAGAAGTTTTATACGTTTTTTTTTTTTAAGTGTATTTATTCGTACGGGACTAGCAACAGGTTTGAGCGCACAAATGTAGTTGGGTAAAAGTTTCACAGATAATGATCCACACGGTAAAACCACTGCACACGCCACTATGGTACTATTACAGCTATATACTATTCAGTTTACCGGATAAAAATTCGATTTAAACTTTTATGCACTTCTACGGTATTTTATTTTTGTTTTGTTTTTGTCACGTTTCACGCCTCGAGCAATTTATAAAATCCAGACAGTGCGTACCTACATGGCTGTGTTGTTTTTTTTGTTTTTGGTTTACTCCCTAAAGCGCCAAATAATAATAAAAAAAATCCATGAATCCGTTTATTAAACTAGATAGGTATACCATATTATCGGCAGTGACGGATAGGAGACTGTGTGATATGGCTTAACTGGGGAATAAGAAGACGATGAAGACGTTGATGGCGGCTGATTTTTCTGACCATAACAGCGAGTTAATATAGTATATAGAACTGCGTCGGTCAGCATAGGGGAGGTATATGTAGTAAGTATACTTCCCCTATACCGATGGAAAAATTATGTTAATCGCTTGCGCCAGGGTCGTATAACGCGCGGGTGAACCATCGAAAGTCTCGCTCGAGCCCTTTCGGCGAGTGTGATATATTTATATTACATTAATAATAATCGCATAATGATAATAACTCGGTATCGGCCGGGCGATCACCGGGGGATAACGCCGGCAAAGGGCAAACAAAACGAATAATAAAAATGTTTAAAAAAAAAACCTACAAGAGGTGATGGGTAAAGGGTAGATTCCGATCGACGATGGTCTTTCGAGACGAGCCCAGAGTGCCGGCGTTTGCGAAAACATTATACAGTGTACATGCATATGGGCCGCGTGTGTTGATAAAGCCGTTTAGTGGGCGTACGCCGGGAGAGGAGAACCAGGGGCCAAGGAGAGCAGCAGGGGCAAAAGCGAGGGGAGGTGCCGGTAGAATATTATATCAGATTGCGGCCGACCAGAGGCGTGGCACGTGTCGCACAGATATACAAGTATACATATACACATGCACGCGCTCTCGGAGCACACACGTGCGGCGTACAGTCGTTTTGCGTGTACACGCCGGATAATCACACGGGCCAGGAGAGAGAGACCATGTTATATGATCATAATAATAATAATAATAATATATTATTCCTGTATACGATACACGGGAACGCGGCCAAACGACGGCGGAGGACCGATTCGTGTATTGAGACGTCGACAAGTTCGGTTTTATCCGTTTGTGTTTGCTTACACGATCGGTGGCCGTTCGAGATGATTATTCGGTAAACACCCGACCCCGGCCCCCGTCGTGCGAATCGAATCGCGCACAACAATGGGGCGAAAAAACGGAATAGATACGGAATTAAAAGCAAATACAGACCTTTATCGACACGTCGGATGATAAAAAAAAAAAAAAAACGCTCGCATATTGTCCGACGACCACTCGCCGCGGCCTTTGAAATCCCTAATGGGGGTATCTTTCCCGAAGGAATACCGTTCGAGGAACGCCGCCGACCCGTTTTGTAAGATCTCTTTTACGCGAAGAAAAACCGCGGTATACCAACCGGTGAATCTGGCTCAACGTTTCCTCGGTAGTCCTTTCCCGGGAACTAGTCCGGCAGTCGAATAAAATATTGATACCTAAACCTATCAACAACCGAGTGGGCTATCCGGGAGACCCGAGCACGCCCAGTAAGGTAAACATGAAGGTAATTATGCATTCCTTTCATTGGGAAGTTCCTGTCGGCAAACAGTCGGTTCCCGAGAAGTCATAATGGAAAGTGTAATCTGCCAAAGTCAATTTATCGGAGACTGGTGTGTAAAATGTGTATTGATGTTTTTGTCATCCTTAAATAAAATATAAGACTCCCGGACAAGTAATCTGTAGACGACCAAATACGATTATAACGATACGATTAATACGATTACGAAATTTACGATTCATACGAAATACGATTATATGATCAGCTTACCTGTTTGGTAACGGTATCGATGAGTCGCACGAAAATGTCTTGTTCTTGTCGTACACCTGAAACACATAGTAACGCGATGAGCTTAGACTTTTGCTATTCTCAATGTACGTTTTCTTCATTATTAATATTTTTTTATCATTACCGTTAGCGTACAACAGCTGCAATCTATACTGAATGCCGTTGTTAGTTTTCTGGGACTCGGACTCCTGTAAAATAACAAATAAAAGGCGAGTGTAGTTAAACAGACATATCATTATTATTATTATCATATTGTCTAAAAATAAAAATACATTTTGATTTTTTAATGGACAATATTTTAACAGCGAAACGTTTTGAATGTTTTTATTACAAACGAATAATAATAATAATAGTAATAAATTCGAATAAAATAATAATAATAACGAACAACTGCGGGTTGGTATACCGAGATAATAATTATAATTATGGTGTCAAAAAAAAATAAATCATGGTCGCACATGTTTGTGTAGAGACCATCGCCAGACGTTGAAATACTGTCACACTAAATTATGTTATCGCCTGTACCAGTCCAAGTCTGGTAAATGTAAACCGAAATCATCGCCTATGAGTTGAGCGAAATTCCACATTTTACTCAAGTTAATATTGATCACTAGAATGAATCGTGTCGGAGCTTGAAATTATGTTAAACAGAATATTGACATAGTAATCTACACGTTGTTCACACACTGTCGGTAAAATAATGTTTCAAGAAAGAGCGAAAATAACAATATATTATACTACTATAATGTGATAACAGAAAAGATTTCATGGATAAATTTATATTTTCGATTTTTTCTTTTCTGATCATATATTTTTAAATGAAATGGAAATGGGTGTAATGATGTTTCTATAAAATATACACCTTACAATATGTGTGTTGAAAAAATAAATGTACCCGCAACAACTTGTATTTCTATTTTATGCGTCAAACGGGAAATAAAAATTATCGTTGACAACGTAATCGAAGTTCTCGTCGAATATGACATATTTTATTGGTGTAATTATTTACAAGTCGACAATACAAAAAAAAAAAATATCAATCGTTTTAAACGCTTAAGTACGGACAACAAAACGATCATTGGAACACAGCGGTTCACCGGTCGCGTGTCAACCGGCACGTGGCTCTCGCCTCTTTTGTGTTTTTACCCGTGTCCGGGTTTAAGCGAAAAACATCTAAGTCTTTCCATTAATTTTGTTTTCATAGAGCCCGACCATTTTAAGGAAGCCACACCGTTAGCCGTGGACTCGAACATCAGTTTGACAGTGCAAACAGTCGTTCTATAACATAATATCTATTTTACATACTATTTATACTAAGTAAACACAGATAGGTTTAATGTATAATAAACTAGATTGCTTTCTAGCGATAAGAACATTGAAGTCGACGTAGTCCATTTTTGTGGAACTTATGTGTGTATAAAATAATATATTATATACATGTATATTTGTCTGTGATTCTGAGCTATCAACTTAACTTGTAATTTAGTAATTATTGTTAAAAACATGCGATGAGGTTCGAAATTCGCACAAAGATAGCGAAAATTATAACTTCACATATTATTATCTCTATTGGCGGTATGTACACTTAGCAATCTAGTTTATTATTATACTATATAATATCTGTGAATAGTAATGATTTAATATTATTATTATTATTACTCTATGGTGTTCATTATTGTTTTTAGTGTTGTCGCTGTGAAATTAGGTATGGAAAAAAAACAGGGCCAAATCGAAGAGTATTCCTGTTTTCCAATCCGACCAAATGCTATTGTTATATTCAGCACACGACCTACGTGTGCCTAAGTATACACTATAAAAAAAAAGCTGATGGAAATACATTCTTACCTGGTCCTTTTCGATGAACCCTATGAACGCCGTCCGTTCGATTTCAATCGGTTGTTGTGATCTGTCGTACAGCGCAATCACAAAATGAAAGAAATTGGATTTCCTCAGATTACTGGGTGGCTGTTTTTCGAAGTGCGCCCTCGATACGCCAATACTGCAATAAACACAAAAAGCAACGACGATTAATAATAATTATTTACATTAGACTTTTGCAAAGCAAAGAGTGTAAAAAAATAAAAAAATAAAAATATAACATGGACAAACATGTGCATAATTATTTTTTACAACGATTATCACCCTTTAGCCGATTTTGCCAAGTAAAACCATAAAGCCTAAATAAACGTTAGTGTAATATAATATAATATGAAAATAGTGTTTATCAAATAGTTCGTTTACATGCAGTAATAATTGTTAAGTCAAAAATGTACAACAACATTATTGGTTTACTTGAAATTTTTAATCCCAGAATAAGTTTTAATACTATAATCTGGGAATTAAATTTAATAGTTAATTTTCATCCTGACAAATTTCCGTTAAAAACGAGTTAGCATGTACTGGATTAACTTCATTCGCATTAAGTTTATCCGAACTGACGACTGCTTGTAAACGTAGTAACTAAATTTAATTCAATAATAGTACTCTTGGCTTGGACCGGATCTAAAAAGGTGTTAATTTGATTTTGTTAATTTTTACCAACTATTGGGATACAATTACAATAATAATAATGTTTTAAATGTATTAATTTGTTAACACCTGAGTATAAATAAATAAGTGATATAGCGTCTTCATTGTGATGGAAAAACAACAATTAGACTAAGTATCATCCAAAACATTACATTAAATCTTTAACTTTGGCCATGAAATGTACTGTGTTTGCCTGTAATTAAGTATTTCTAACAAGTTCTAAAATTATAATTATGCTACTTAGTAACATATATTTTGGTTATATCGACACAACGTCGTTGAAGGTTATTCTATAATGTGTATTTTAAGTATACATTTTTTTTTATAAACAGGGTTTGTTGGTAGAATATTTTTAAATTTTTTTATGAACATTTTTAACTAGTTTTGTTTGTTTTTTTTTTTAAATTTATTTCTCACATTTATTCCCGACAAGGAAAATATTAGTTTTTTTAACTATAATCATAGTGTGTACTCGGCTTGTTAATAAACGTTGAAAACAAAAACTATGGTCGGCGACAACGAACTGACATCAACCGATATAATAACAATAACAACACCACAGTTATTATTATTAGTAGTAATATTATTATAATATATACATCAGATACATTTAGGGGTAGTCGATTGTTATTAACGGCGAAACTAATATAATATTCGGAGCTGTCGGCGCTTGTTTCCATATTGACCGTTGGGAATTGCATTGACAACATATTTTGTACACTTTTACCTCTGTTGTAATAAAACTATTGCTGACGCACATGTGTATACTTTTCCATACATCCCATCAATCCGCCTCCGTTCCTCTACCCCTCGTGTCCACCCAACGATAATAATTTAATGTCCATTTTGTTCGCTTCGTAGGTACCTAACTATCTGGTCAATGTTTCGCTATGCAAGGCTATATATAGTAAATATAATATTGACAATATAGCATTTTGTAATATCAATAATATTAAAAGCGCTCGATGTAATAATTATTATCGCCGCCCCGTCCGTATGAAATAGCGTTACAATATTATTATACTTATATTGTACGTACATAATAATAATAATAATATGTACATCGTTATTTATATTGTGACCATTTATTTGTTGTTCTTGTTTTTTTCCCCTATTGTTTTAGCTCATAAAATATTTACAACCGTCCAAAACGCTGGACGGTAACTCGCCGCAATTCGATTATACACACAATATATACACTGTACTAACGTGCGTGCAGTTGGTCGACTTCATCATCGACATTATCATTATCATAATAAGCATTATTGTTTTTTTACCAACATTCGTCGTTGCCATTATTGTTCATGTTGTGTAATAAAAAAAAAAAAAGCTAAAAAAGTATACCATCTAGTTTTATTGTAGGAATACACATATTGGACTGCTATTAACACGACTGATACAACATAGATACATAATATACATTTAATGATTAAAAGTCACCTTTACAAAGTATGATATAACCGCGTTATGACTTCGCTTGCCAGCTGATAATTTGGATTTCAACATGTTGTCCATAACTCCAAAACAATTATGTCGAGATGGGTAAAAATTCTCCAGGGAAGGCTGTTTCGGTTTGACGAGCAAGGAGAAAGTTAATTTTACTTCATCTCTATACACAGGGTGATATGTTTGACACTCGATATCTCTTTAAAACACTTGCAATTTAGTAGTTTATCGTTTTGAAAAAAAATATTTGTTCGAGTCTTGTTTTTTGAATAAGATATAGATACCTAATTAATACATTTTTACCGTTTTTTAGTATTTTCCAAAGCCATATCATCTTTTGAATCTTTAACGGTATTATTATACTAAAGTACTCCTGAAACTGAATTGTGATTATTTTAAAAAAAAATCAGTGTCTTGGCGTTAAACGGATCACCCTGTATTATAAACCCAACAACCAGCGACAAGACGTATTACTACAATTTTACAGACCAAAAAAATAAATACACAACTCGGGCAGTCCGTTTATGTCTATCATAGTAATAACAATAACACAATATGGACGCTGAGAAACCGAAAAATTCTCAAAAGCCATGACGTGTTATATCCTGCCGAATAATGTAGTTTGGGGGGTAGCTTTTATATTTTATTTACTTATACACATGAACCCGAAGAAAAATGGAAGTTAATGCCGAATGAGATTCCGTTCGATACATCTCGAAGCCCCATATATTCAGCGCTTTTTATAGACAATAAACCAAAACGGAAACATCAGCGTTATCTTATTGTATTAGCCGTCGAATGAAGCGATGATGCTTCGTTCGTAGAACAAAACCGAAAATTATAGTATATAAAAAAAAAAAAGGAGTGTAGCAAAAACGATCAGAGTATGTACAAAACCGTATTTGTAACGAAGCCGTTGGGGGTTTACGCGTAATCCCAGCAAAACAAATACAAAAACCCTTCCTAAATAATTTTCGTCAATACGGAAAATACACTTTCCCGTCTTATAAGCAAATGGATTACTTTTTAGAAACGAAAAAAATATATATATAATATAACGATAATGTAATAACGTTGCGGAAAAATTACATTCGAAAGTCGCGGATGGCAAAATAAAAACATAATACACACAAACCAAAGTTCAACAAAAATCAAATGTATCTTCACTACATTCCTCTGTGTTTATTTTTGCGGCAGCTCTTCCGGGAAGCGTGGCTTTGTGAAAGTACATTATAGCTGATGTTGCTCCTTTCCGGATTGTTGTGTACATACATAATATAATACACACGGTCACGTCTCTTACCTTGTGTTGTATGTAGGTAGGTAAGTGCACCCGGCGGAAAATCCACACACCGAGCCCGTTATTATTTTTATGCACTGATAAAAGTGCCACAGTGAATCGAATTAACCACCGGCAGCGCTATATAATACACCCGCCATGTTTTTTCATTTTTACCATCCAACGTCACCCGGTAATACAATTATTATTATTAATATCGAGAGTATCGCTCCGTTCAGCAGTGTTGTCAATATTAATATGTTATACAATTATAATATTATTAATACTGCGGCCTACATTGTCAACAGGATCCGTTTGATTCGCATTAAATTTGCCTTTTTTTATTTGCCTTTTTTTTTACCACGCCCGTCTAAAAAAAAAAAAACATTACCCCGTTTATTACACCCTCAAAGCTGTTCATAATCACGCCCAATGTCGAACAGATTAAACCCGGTGCCGCACTTACAATGTTGTTCGTCCTAAACAAAGTATAACTCTCTTGAAATCTAGGTAACGACCCGTCTCCCACATTAATTATGTTCTGGTTTTAATAAACGATTACATAGTATTCGCCTAACCTATAAAAAGATATAGAAAACGGTAAAAATCGTAACGAAATTCGTAGAAACTAGATATTACGAGTTTTATAACTTCATTAGCTGCTATAACTTTGCGCACTTGTTACTCTTTGGTTTTACGCATATAATGCATTTGTATATGGTAATAATTATTAATATAGATTGATTGTATTTTGCCAAAATCGAAAATATTAAAAAAATAAATTTACCATTCTAGTATACACTAGGGAAATTATTTTCATCAACGCGTTGTTTACCACATTAACCGTACCCAGCTAATTATAATTATTTACCTAGCTGTTGGCATGCTATTATATTGCATACACAAAACGCCGTTTTACCGTGTGGAATTCGGCATCAGATGATACCTGTCCAGTACAATAATAAATTATTGTGTGATGTGATAAAACAACAAATCCTTCTAGACTTGCGGACGGTTTTTTGAAATGTAAATAGGTAATGTAGAGAGTTAATGTGTAAGTGTGTACGAGACTGCGTCCCCGGGAGACTACAGGCGAATCCAGTGAGATATTATTTTACCACCGTCTTGTTTATAATATAATCAATAGAGCGCGGTATTGGCGCAACTAGAAGAAAGGGGGGAGGAACTAAGGAATTTCAGACCTTATAAAAACAGCTCTGAATGCTCCCTTTAGAATTTCAGTAAAATAATTATAAACCTTACACGACCAAAGATATTATTATAAGGTACATATTATGATTATCCGGCCCGAAGGACCATAAAATGCGAATTTTATATTATTGAAAATAATCGACTGACGCGGTTAACTATTGAGAATGTGACACCGTCGCATGGCAATGCAATAGTATTAAATTCGTTTCGGCCAGGTCTACTGGTTTGTTTCAACACAATTGAGCAGCACTAATGCGACCTATTATCGCTTTCCGGCTGCACCGGGACGATACTGATAATAATTATGACTGATGTTGTTGTTTTCGTTTGTATATTAATCTTTTTAATAATTAATCTCGGTTGCGGAAACTTTCATAATTTTATAAGCGAAAAAAAAACGGTAAACTCTTCTTCCGACCCGTCGCTTGGAAACTTTTAAAACATGTTTATCGCAATTTATAAAAGTTATAATCGTCCCTAACCGACGATGGCTCGACAAATGACTAGGCTCGATTATTGTTGCTATACTCACTGTCAAATATCAAAATAAATAACGATAAATTGTAATATTTTATGAAATATTTTTGGCATAGGTACAGTACAATAGAAAGGGTGAAGGTCAACCAATAAATGAAGGCCAACAAACCTCTTTTTCGTATTCTGTTCGTCCCTATATTATTATGTACACCCTTTCTCGTGTGCACAACAAAACATTGTTGTTTGGTGGGCCAACCAAAAGTCATGTTATATTATTCTTTATTCCATCACCTTATAATTGACGTTCGATTTACAATTGCTATGTTTAGTAGATTTATTATCCGCTCATCACATATTATATTATATTATCTATATCCATACAGTATAAATTGTTATGTAATTATACAATAAATTAGATATTTTGAATATTTATTCATATGATGTATATAATATTAGGACCCATACATAAAAATAATTATTTATAATGATAGCTAAATGTTTGTTAATATTTTGAAATTATTTTTAATTCATATTTTGATAAAGTACTAGATACATAATTATCCGAATCATGGTAAGAAGCAATGTGTTGTTTAAATATTATTAAAACACAGAAAATATTAAAATAAAAGTAAAAGTTAAAACATTGGAACTATTTTATAACACTTAAACAATATTTGGCAAATAATATTTTTTATACATATAGTTTTTTGTCAAAATATAATTATAAGTAGTTAAAAAAAAAATGAAAATTTGTTTGCTGTTGGTTTACTTTTGGTTATTATTATTAATACCTAATTTCTTAAATTATATGCTTTAAATAGTGTTGTTGTGTATAAATACACATTTATATATATTTGATATATAATAATTATAATTACTTTTATTTTAAATAATGGAAATAATAATAACTATTATATATATTTTTTATAATTTATATATGGTACGGAGAAGGGCGATAATGATTTTAATGCAGTTTTTTAAATAAATGTTTTCCCTATACAATATTCTACACTGTATTACATGTTTGATTATTTATTTTATGATTTTGAATTACTATGTTTATTCCTAAATCAGCTTGTTTTCCCTAGTTATTAAAATGATAATTTTAAATATTATTATTAATTTTCTTTTTATATAAATATCACTTTTACCACGTATTTGTTTCTTATAATTTTTATTTAAATAATCTGAGTATATTGATTTAAAAAAACACTTTAAACACTAGTAAATGTGATTTTTTACATTTCATAGAGGAACCTAAATAATTGCTTTATTTTGTGTAATCAATTTTTTTAAAACTACAGAATTTGTTATAATTTGATTAAGAGAACGACACTTCACTCATTTAGTAAAGTATAGGCAATTTTTTGAAAAATCTTATTTTAGAGCTTCAACTATAATTTTTACTTATTAATATTTAATACAGTATTGAGGATTCTAATAGATTTGTTTAAACTTTATCAGTGTTGTAGCGTTATGATTTTTTTTCTATATTAATACTCATTAACTTTAAGAAACAAATAATAATTAAAAAAAATTTTTTTTTAAAAGTTACTCAACATTTGATTTTTATAAATTACTGAAATATTGTAAACCCTTTACTAACAACATCAAAGATAATCAGCACTAAACACACATGAAAAGTTCTGTATTTTCTATTGTCTAGAGCTGAATTTTTGGTGTACTTAATTTGACGATTTTTTAAAAGATACTTCATTAGGTTTTATTGGGCTCTGGTCAAAACCGACGCTGACCAACGTTTGATTGTATAAATTATTCAGGTCGGGTACAGTAGTTTTTAAATGCTATTTTGGGGGGGGGGAGGGGCGGTTGGGTTAATTTAATTTAAAATGTATAGCTCGCGAGTTACATATACTACTTTAACAATAAAAGATGCAAATCAATAAATTTTGTTAATTACCTGCTTTGATCTATGATGGACGGCTGCATCCAGGACCTGGGAACGGACAGCTGCGAGTTGGCCAGCGGTTCTTCTTTGAGTCCGGTGACAGGTCCGCGGGCCTGGTGATGATGGTGATGATGATGGTGATGGTGCAGCCCGGACAGGCCGGGCGAACCCGAGTCTTGATGGTGATGGTGTAGGCCGAACATGAGGCCGGCTGCGGCCGCGTTCCGGTGATGGTTGCCGGGCGTCGGATACAGTTTGCGGCCCCACGCGGCCACTGGATCCAGTTCGCCTGGACCACCGCCTCCGCCGCCGCCACCGCCGCCACCACCGCCGACTACGCCACCGCCGCCGCCCAGCGTGCCGAGCGAGGACTGCCACGGTGCCGCGACCGCGGCGTCAGCATCGCCGCCGGTCGCGCCGCCCGTCCAGTAGCCGACGCCGGCCACCGTCCGTCCGTCTTCTTCCGTGGACACCACCGTGATGCCTTCCGGGCCCACCGTTCTATACGACGTGTCGGACAACGTGCGTAAACGTGTGGCCGGCAGAAGCACTTTGATCAACGATAACGACGGCGTGCCGAACGCGAGCAAGACGACGATGAGGTTTATATCACGGTATATTAATAATTATTTTTCGACGAAGCGTCGGACATGTGCGTCGGGAGAATAAAAAAATAAAAAAAAATTAGAGACTTGGGGAATTGCAATAGAAATAATCACTAGTCTCAATTATAGTCTCGCGAGAACGATATGAGCCGCATATGAGATGGTGCAGAGAGAGTACACGTTGGACCACGCGCGCGTGTGTACTTGACCGACTAGTTGTCCCGGTGGGAGTGCGACTAAACTCACGGAGGATATCCGCGATCCGAGTCCCGTCGGCCGTCGTAGGGGGTGGTGCGCGTGTGCGTCAGTTCTTCTATGTGATAGTCAGTGCATGGGTGTGTGTGTGTGTATACTGTTCTGATGTTATCGTGTGTGTGTGGTAGCCACGTCCCTGTGGTAAAGCGGGACACGCCCATACCGGCAGGGACGCTGACTCGTTGTCACCGCCTACCGGCCAATGACGACGCCTGCACTAGCGGTACCCGCTGTCGCCACCGGCCGCGTCCCGACTGACCGTCACATCGGCCGCCGTCGTCAGACCACGCGGACGCCGACATCCACGGGACGAGACCGTGGACGCCGCCAGTATGATTATTTTGCACGCCTGCTATTTCGTGCGGCGATATGCTCAAAATTTAACACAATTTTATACAATATGCCACTTAAAGACAGCAGATTTAAAATTTTTAACTTTCAAATAAGCACTATAAAAAAACCCATCAAACTTTACAATATTAAGTCGCAAGTATAAATAATAGCTTTAAGTACCTAAATAAAAAAAGCAATTTCTTTTTTTATTTATGTATAGTACTTTATGTAGTCTAAATTAAAACAATACATTTTTATTTCAACTTATTTTTAAAATAATTATATCCAATACATTAGAAATCATAACTGTAATATTTAATTGTTATAAGTATAACAGGAATTTTACACTTAGGTAAATGCATTATATTTGTACGGTTTACTTGCCGAATTCCAAAATTCTCGGTTCTCTTAATAAATAGGTACACTTAGGCTAATAATATTCAAAAAATCTATACTGGAAAAATTAGGTAAACATGTAATAACCGTTAAATAATATAATAATATAGATATACTACATGTTTTATTAGAATATTTTTTCGGATTTTTCAGACTAAAAAAAGGTCCTTATGGCGATCTAACTTATTACAGAAGCAAATTCTTGTAAAATTTTAACTCTTTCGAGTTACTAATTTTTACAGGGGTAAAAAATACTCTAGAGAAAAAAATTATTGGCATTTAGATTGTCATCATAAAAAAAGGAAAACAATTTGACTTTAAAAATATTTTGAAAAATGAATATTGAAGAAGTTTTAAGTCCTATATTTGACATAAATAAAGTTTTTTTTTGTAAATGCTGATAAAACAACCACTCTTACTTCTCTTAAATTGATTTTCGAAGGGTTACAAACAATTCTAGAATTTTCTCTATTTAATTATGAAATAAACTCAGTGTGAAAAATTCAAAAACAAATATTTGAAAAAAAAAATTCAAAATTATAAAAATGTTTCAAATGTGTTTCAATTTTTAAAATTCGATAATAATTTACAAATAAGTACTGAATAATATTATGAAACGATTTTGAGAAAGAAAACAACAATAATTCGTGGACTTTTAATTTTTTTCATAGATTTTTTAGATTTACAAGCCTTATTTGTGAAGCATATTTAAAATCGTAAAAAAAACTAACTCAAGAAGAACACAATTTTTTTTGTCTACACTTATACAGGGTGGAAGCCTAATAAATTATGAATCATTTAATATGTCATAAGATTCAATCCTGTCTTAAAAGTATAACTAGATAGGTACATAATAGTTTTTGAGTATTTGTTTTGCATTTACGAATAAGATTAAACATATTTTTTCTCATTCTTATGCCTCCAACTAGTGTCAATTTTGTTTTATGTTAAATCCACAAACACAAAAACTATTAAAACAAATAAATTCCAAGAAATTTGTTTTATCATTCACGTATTATATAAATGTTATATACATTTATATTTTGTCTTATAAGAGCGCTTTTTCCAAATTAATGCCTTACAGTTTACACGATATTCAGGGTTTTTTTTTTTTGTAATTGCTTAAAGTATAATCATAAACCCGTTTTGTAGCCAGGATGACACACAGTTGCCGGAATATGAAATTTTCCTGCCCAAATTGACACCTCTTAAAATTTGGTCCATAATATGTAAGATTGTGCAATATATTATCGTTCCTATTGAGTTCGAGGTCACTGATTCCAAATATATTATTAGTTTGAAAATTAGCCCCATGTTTAGTGGAGAGGGATGCAAGAAGAAGGACGTTTTGAATTTTCACAACATTTTTTTATTCAAAATTAATATTATGTTATGTATTGTATAATATACTTCTGGCCAACACACAAACGAAGGTTAAACGTCAATTATTAAGATCAATTTTTTTTTATATTTCTGCCTGGAGTGTCTTATGATAATATTTTCTTACTACTACGCTAGAATTTAAGTTTTTAAGCTCGAGTTTTAATGGATTATTATATTTTGTAAACGTTATTTAACAATTTGCGTGTGGCATTGTGTTGGACTATTTGATGGACTGTTTTATATACCTACATATTATAATATTTCTGTTTGCTTATGGCAAATACGAGACGTGATATGTCAGGATTTCGTTTCGAGATTAATCTTGGTGAAATTCGGGTGTTTCATTTCTCGCGTGGTGGAAACATTTTTAATAAAATTGAAAAGAAAAAATTTAATTTCAAACGGTTTGTTTGTCATTGTCGATGCATGCCTGCTGTGATCTCTAGTCGATTGGTTGATATTGATTAAATATAATATAAGAAAGGAACGAAGGAGAGCAAACCCCATTTCTGGCAATGTTAACATTCAATATTTTATTACTTTCAGTAGAACAGACAATCTTGTACATACACAATATTGCCGGCGTTTAAATTATATATTCGTTCGCTGAAACAATATTACATTTGCTTTGCCACTGTAAACCGTTAATAATTCAAACCGATACTCCGAGTGCCGGCTTTACAGAACCCGTCGGTCGTTAAACATATATGTATATATTTTTTCAGCGTCTTGATGATATTATTGTTTCTACACATTTTTCTACATAAATTATTACAACTCCGTGCACGAGACGGCTTTGGAACGAGCAACTTAAAAAACACTGCCCGTGTATTATTGATAACAATATATCCAATATTGCATTCATGAACGACCGGCGGTATGCTCTTAACTCCTCGGGCGTAACGATAATAATATGGCGAAAAGCAACAGTATAATATATTATTTCCATTGAGACATGTTTATTTGCTAGATAAGTCGGTTAAAGGGATTGCGTTTAATATACCACCACTCACCACACCCAAATGCAACTTAGAACTGTTTGAACACAGTTCTAAGTTGTCAGAACAAGGGCCCATTTTTAAATTTTGGGTTTTTTTCCGAAAGACGTTATACACAGAAGAAGCTGTTATAAATTTCAATCAAATATTTTGGGTAAACCCAAAAGGTGGACCCTGGAATAACAGCTGTAAGACATTAAAATGCGTTTATATTATGTACCTGGCATTTGTTGTAAATAGCCAATAGAGATGACCGGCGTCGTCAACCGGATGGTTGTAATTATTATTATTATGGTTCGCTAAAGGATTACTACTCCGGAGCGGTCCTATGTGAAACGCAGACGTTTTAAATGGGGCAGACCGGCAGATACGAGTAATCGAATATTAATGGACACTCCGGTCCAGGGGAATTGCCGGAGAAAGGGTTTTCTTGAACGACCGCCGCCGATAGCGTCTGTACAGATGACCGGCGGTCGGCAGATAAGCGTTTACCTTAATATGCAAATATGTCAGCCAAGCCGGTCTAAACGACCTGTGGCCGTTTTATATTCCTCCGAGGCCTTCACAGGACCAATCGCCACCCGTTGTTTGTTAATTAATTCCCACACACAACCGGCGACGACCGTCTTGTTCGGAATACTTTAAGTAAGTATAATCGCGTTTTGTCGTGGCTCACACGTCCCCCCAAAGGATTTGGCGAACATGGCGAATGATATTATGTAATATATACACACACAATGGACTAGAATTATCTCGAATATGGTTGAGAGTTGAATAAAAATATCATCATTTTTTGTAGTCTCCAAATTCCATAAATCACAGTGGGTTTTAGATTATTGATCTATGCGCGGCTATGAACGCATTGTTCTTACAATGATGTGTTTGGACTTACAATAATTGCTGAAATCAGAATATTCGTATTTAAAAGGTACTTTATTGGATCGATAATTTTGAAAATTCAACCCTGCCACTAAAAATCACTAAAAATTTACACATTTTTCATCTTGCAGTAAACAATTTTTTTAAAAATAGTCCAATTACTTCCTATTGCTTGTGTAGGATATGCTTTAAATATAATTACACGCTGTAAAGATATTAATAATAAAATCCTTTCGTTCAATCATTTCCCAAACGGGGGGGGGGTAGACAATGGACATTTTCCTTTATTTTGCCTTTTTAGAAGTACTTTTTGAACTTGAAGACTGAAAATAGGACTAAAAAAGATCTATAGTGTTATAACATTTAAAATTGTCTAAAAATACATTTTCAAGCTTTTTTTTTTATAAAGGAAAGACCATAAAAGAAAAAAAGATACTCTTGCTGTTTTAAGTTTCCAATAATCCTATTATGCTTTATGCTAATATGCAGCGGAAAAATGTACCCCAATCTTTGTCCCTACTGTGATAGGTTTTTCCTTTGTTTGAAATTTACTAGACAGCAAATATCAAATTTATACTGAATATGTCTTTTTGTTATGAACAATTGAAAAAATATATCTTTTAATGTTTTATTATAGAATATTGCAATTGATATGAGGTAAATTAAAATAATAATATTCAGAATAATATAATTATGTACTTAAAAGGTATATTATAGGGCTAACAATTTAAATAGATTACTTCTTCCTCTTCAAAGTCGTGAAAAACCTCTTCAAAATGTGTATATTTATCAATTTAAAATTATACAGCACGCTATACATTTTTTAAAAATGGTCTATTTAACAACAAATTTGTATAGGATTTTTTCAAATAAATTACTATAGACATACTTTAAAAGATAAAAAAAGCGTTCGAAAACCTTTCCCCTTAGAAGGGGTAGAACACTTTTCTTTATTTCTCTTTTTCCAGAAAACTTTTAGGACTTACAGCACGAGAATTGACTAAATACAAATCTAGTTTGAGGCTATTATAGCATAAACGATTTTTTTCAAAAATCTGTAGTCAAACTTTATTTTTATCAAGGAAAAACCAACGAAATTGGGAAAAATTACATTTTAACCGTAGTGAATATCTAGGGTGCTATGATCGAGTGAAAATAATTTATTTATATTTTTAATTACTTAATACCACTACAACTTAAGGGGTTAAGTACAATGCTTCTATCGAAATTTTTATTTCTATCATTAAATCGAATCGTTTATTTGAAATTTATTTTATCACTTTCAATTGCAATAATTTATAATAGACCTGTGACCTCAAAAAATGAACTAATTATTTTGTAAATACATACATTTCAGTTACAAGCACTGTTGAGCATATTTAAAAAAAATACGAGAATAGAAAAATTTAAATATTTGTTTGAAACATTTTTTAGTTTTACATTTATATAGTTTACATTTATTAGAAATAAATAAATCACAGTACCATTACTAACCATATACTCAATAGTTTCAAGGTCTAAAGGAACACATACAAATATTTGTTATAAATACAGGGTAATTTATTTAACGTAAGATTTTATTTTTGTTATTTTACAACACTTCAAAATTGTAACGTGTTTGTCATTTTTGTTTAAATAATAGTATGTAATTGTTGAGCCATCATATTATCTAATAAAGGCTATTAAAAAAAAATGTTTTTATTGTTTTAAGAGCATCGCACTCATCATACATTTTAAACATTAAGAACTTCAAAAGTGGTTATCGATCAGTCAACGTTTTTAGCAAGTAAATTTCAAATAAGTTTAGTTGTTAAAAATTTTGATTTCTTAAGAATCTACTAGTATAAAATATATATTTTAATTACTTAATTTTTAATATAGATAAACCTGACTACTGGGTCAGTGACTACAGCCTAAAATATTAGATAAATTACAATTGATATAGTAAGATAAGATTTTCATAATAAAATGTGATGGCTGATTTATATAATGTTAAAAAACATTGTTAAAAAAAAGGAATATTTTTTTTTACTTGTGCGTTGTTAGATTTTCCTTGGAGGTGTGCTGATATAATATATGGAATTTGGAACGTTGGTTTTCATATTTTATACATTCGGCAATAATATATTTAATTGAGTTTGTTAAATGGCATGTCTTGTATAATGTTTATCGTTTTGTGTAATGCATCTACTAATTATATTTCATTATTTTTTGAATGTGTAAAATTGATCATCAGTAAAACACTTGTAGCACGAAACAATAATTAAGACTATCTTTTGAAGTGTGTTACCACTGCGCAATAAGTACTCAATTTAAATTACCAATTTTTATAATATATGTTTTTTTGTATAGTACTTTTGTACAAATTAACTATAACTTCATAAGTAAAATAATTTTGCAAGCCAGTAATAAACTGTAGCATATATAACTATTACATAATTTTAGACACATTTTTGAGATAATACTACAATTTTTTTTATTCTCATATACGTCATATTACCTTATACAACCATCGTCGCTTTACCCTTTTTTTTTTTAAAGTTTTTAGATTTTATCAAAGAAAATTTAAGGAATACAGTTATTATTTGTTTTGTGAACACGACCTATTCCGCCCCAGTAACTTAAAGGAAACTTTTTTTTTTTTTGTACGTGTGTATTAATTTTATTAAATTGTTAATCGAGTATTGTCGTACAAACATAATACAATGAATATTGTCACATATGAGTTTATGAGAACCGAAAACGACCATCGAACCTAGGCTAGGTTAGGTCATGTCCTAACCGGTTAGTCATATCTGTATTAAAAAGCTGTCGACTTACAGACAACAATTTACTAGTTCAGGCGAATAGAGATTAAACAAATACTTCCAATACATTCCGACTAGGTATGACATATCTATTTATATTGTAAGTATAAAAAAAAGTTATTTCATCCGGTTTTGAGCTACACGTGTGACTTTCGTCGGGAACTTAAACCGGGACTTTCGTTTTTCAACTCCTCTGGGGCAATATTGTCAGCATGGCAAGCCCTTGTAAAATATATCATAAACAATGTTGACCGACACAAACTGTCCACGTACGGTTAGTGTCTTATAGAAAAAAAAACCACCATTGACGTTGGTCGATCGCTGTTGCCTCTCTGGGGATTTTGAAGTTGTGCTCCAAAAAAGTAATTGCAACTCTGACAATTGTGCGAAATCTCTTTGTCTTGTATTATAAAACCGTAGCGTCGTACATGTTGTGCACGCTTTAATTTGTATACAAAAAACGACAAAGAAGATAGTATCTTAAATACTACTAATTACTTGTTTGTAGAAAGAATGACCGTTCGTTAAATCTGTCGGACAATGTATTTAATTTTTAAGCAGTCTGATTTAAAGTAATTTAGTGTAGACACCGACATAACTAATTTATATTGTATTATAAAAAAAAAATAACATAAAAGTACATTTTTGAAGCATCCGATCTAAGTACATAAGAGAGTGGCTTTAGCCCCCATAGGCTCTCTCCCTATTTGTTACTTATTACTGCAAACTACTCATTATCTTAGCTATTTTAATATAAAACTCCAAAAAATATATTTTCAAATCAGTTAATACAAATCTTTATCAGTCACAGTCCTACACGAAAATCTACTGTGGCGGTAGGTTTTCTTTGCTCAAGACTTTTTTTAGTATTTTTATAAAAAGATAATTTTAAAATCCAAGATTTTCAGTTTTAGCATCGACAGGGAGTTGAGAATTTTTTTTTTACAATGAGGAGTTTATATATTTTATTTTTCGTGCCTTGACCTTAGATATTATCTTCTTAACCTCTGGACCGGTTCCTTCGTATAGCAAGTCTATAAATCAGAAATCGTACCTGAAAGGTACTTTATTGGGTTCGAAAATGTTAAACAAATTCACCTATTTCCTTAAAAATAGAGAAAAATACCCAACAAATTTATATATATATATATATATTTGACTTAAATTTACGGCACACATAAATACACGTGGACAAGCCAAAAATAATCAAAAAAACATTTTTCTATATTTTTAGGTGTAACTTTAGGGCTTTAAATCTGAAAATTAGATTGAACTATTTTTTTATTAATGATAAACCAAAAAAAAAACCAGTACAGAAGGGTCGGGGAAGGTAACGGGGTTTTATGTAACAATTAATATAACAGAAAGTGATTTTATAATTTTTAAATAAACGCTTTGATGCCAAATTGTGTATAATAGAAACATAACATAAGTGTCGACAAAATTTCACTGTAAAGGCAAAAATGTGTTTAGGTAGGAGCGTGGATACAATTAGAGTTGATTTTTCATTCTAATAATTCTTTGCCGTTGTCACCAAAATCAACTACAAAATTTAAATGTTTTTCGAATACCTGTTGACAGTTGATTCACTTTTACATAGCAACCAAGGAATTCAGTACGGTTATAGTAAACTAAACTAAAATATAACACATAGAATAATAAATAATAATGTAATAAATAGTATATTGCCTCTTGTGTGCGTCGTAATTATCGACAACTAGGTCAATAATTACCGATAAGCCTTTTAAATGTATTAAAAATATTTAATAATATACAAATAATAGGTACAATATAATAATGTGGTACACTTCAAGTATTTAATTTCTATAATATATCACGAGCTTTATCGCTTTTTAGTAGGTAAATAATAATTTTTGTATTGCACCTGACATGCAACTATATAAGAATTGTTCAGTAGTCGTTGAGCAATTAACCCGAGTGGAACGTCAACATGTCTTTTACAGTAACGTCTTGGTCTCTACAATGTACCGTTGTGTTGCTGGTAGTGTTGGCGTGCTCGGCATTCGTTTATTATTATACTTATGTGTTTGCCTATTGGCGAAAACGAAATGTACCGCATGTGACACCGGCTGTGCCTCTGTTTGGAAACGTCTTTAGACTGACTCTGGGACTGGACAATTTGGCCGGTTCGTTCGACCGAATGTACAAACTGTGCACCGAGAAAAAGTACATAGGATACTACCAGATGAAAACGCCCACGTTGATTGTGTGCGACCCGGAAATCGTGCAAACCATTCTGGTTAAGGACTTTTCGCACTTCACCGACCGCTGGGCGCACATCGACATCGAGTCCACGCCGTTTGCCAACAACTTGTTTCACATGAAGGGAAGCCGTTGGAAGGCGATGCGAAACAAAATAAGCCCGGTGTTCACGTCCCGGATGCTGAGGAACATGCACGATCAGATCGAAGATTGCAGCGGAGAATTGTTGAGAAACGTGCAGAGTGACCTAGAGCTGTGCTCAGACTCGATAGAAGTAAGACACGTCATGGGCAATTATTCCACGGACGTGATCGGCACTTGCGCCTTTGGTTTACAATTGAACGCAATTTCTGACAAAGATTCGCCGTTTCGCCAAGCTGGAAAAGCCATATTCAACCCGCCACGGCCGTCTTTGTTGAAACAAACCCTATTGACGATTGTGCCGCGGTTGAACAAATTACTGAAGATAACGCCCTGGCCCGCACACCTGACGGATTTTTTCATAAACGCGTTCAAGGACACAATGAAGTACAGGGAAGACAACAATATCTCGCGAAACGATCTTGTGCAATGTCTTATGCAAGCCAGAACCGATTTCGTCATTAACAAAATCGATCCGTCGGGTAAGACGCTGTTGGCAGCGTTTGCACTTGTTGTAATAATTATTAGACACATTCCACCTTCTAAAAGCATAAAAAAATAAAATGAGTGAGGACGCAGACCATCCAAGTCCATTTTTCTTCTGTTATAGCGCTAGAATACATTCAAAGAAATTGTAATATTTAGTACTCAGACACATTCAAGGGGAACGGAAAGCACTATCTATTAAGGGGCAAGGGATATAGGCAATAATTGGCAAAAATAGATCTAATAGCCATTTTTAACAGGCCGACTAATTTTAGGGTGAAAATGTGAAAAAATTGTCTAGTTATAATACTTTCAAAGTTATTTTTCTCCGAGTTATGGCGAAAGTTTGATAAAAATAACGACTCACATAGAAGTCATTTTCTGTAGCATCTATTGGGCGGATTTCAATTTTGCCGATTGTTGATTAAGCAATCAGAAAATTGGTTAGATTTATTAGAAAAACTATAAAAGTAAAAATATAAATGCTTACAAAATTTTTTTGAAAATAAAAATAAAAAATCGGTTTTTTAGTTTCGGTTCGGTAGACAATTCGTCAAAAGTGACTTCGTTTGAGGTGCCCCTAATGTGGGGTATCCTCCTCATGTTAATCATGTGTATAGTTTATTGTAAATAGTTTATAAAAATACTCATTGTAAAATATAATTTACAGATTGTATGTTTTTCAATAAAAGTCAATAAAAAAAAAAATTTTTAAAAAAAGTGACTTCGTATTTTAAGTCTTTATTTGTACTTGACGCTTTCCATTCCTCTTAGGAAATTTATTTTTTTAATTATTTAGAAACTTGGTAAATTATTATAGATTTAATAGAACATAAAAGATAAAATAATTTATATAATTTTTTTGTTAAATTGCCATTTGAAAATCAGTTTTGGGGCAAATATTTTACATTCAGATTGAAAAAGAGTGAATCTACAATACTTAAAAATAATGAAATAATTACAAATGTGCCAACAAAGTTTTTCATTAAAAAGACAAATTCAAAATTATTTACCACTTGACCTGTAAGGCACCGAAAGGTTCTTTTTCTCAATTTTTACCGCTAGTTGCGCCAATGGGTTCTATGGCAAATAAGTCATTTGCCTTATACATTAAGATCAAACAAATTGAGTATATACAACTAATCAAATTAGAACAGTAATGATTGTATACTTATTTTTCCTAAAACTATTTTATTTCCAGTGAACTTCACAGAAGTAGACATAATTGCCAATGCTTTTATTATGTTTGCTGCTGGATTCGAGACGGTGTCTACTACAATGAGTTATTGTCTGTATGAGCTTGCGTTAAACAAAACAATCCAAGACCGCGTTCGCAAAGAAATGTTAGTGGCAAAAACTAAGCACAACGGTGAAACGAACAGTGAACTCTTGACGGATCTCAGTTATTTGGGAATGGTGATAGCAGGTAAGCGGCCATCCAAAATTGAAATATTATTTTTTTTATTTTACATGAAGTATTTTCATTCTATGGTTGTTTGCAATTCTAGAAACACTGCGCAAGTATCCACCCACGCTTGTACTTATGAGGTCATGTACATCGACCTATCAGGTTCCCGGCGACAATTTGATAATAGAAAAAGGCACAAGAGTATTGATACCCGTTTACAGCATTCAAATGGACCTGAAATATTTCACAGACCCGACGACGTTCAATCCAGAACGTTTTGCTCCTGAAAATAAGTCTAAGCTGCTGGGCGGTACTTATATTCCTTTTGGAGATGGTCCCCGTCATTGCATTGGTAATACCACGCTGTGTATATGTTGTTTGAGTGGTTAAATTGTTTTAACAACATTGTGGCCGTTTACAGGAAAACGCTTTGCAGAAATGGAAATGAAATTGGCACTTACCGAGTTGTTGAGCAAATACGAAGTAGAGCCATGCGAGAAGACCCAAATCCCCATCGTTTTTGCTAAAAGAACTCCCATGGCTATACCCGAAAAAGGAATATGGCTGAAATTTAAGGCCATCGACTGCTAGCCATATGATTTGGTTTTGCCTTTTCTTATTTGCATCTAATTGAAACCGACTTAAAAACATTTGCATCCTAATTCCAAACTAGGTGTACACGGTGTATCGATTGAATGCATAATGTTCTATGATTATTGAGGCACTGTATATATTATAATAATTATAACCAATGTATCATAACAGTTTGTAAAATTAGGTCTGATATATTATGTATACTATGTGATCATTTTGACTCGATACATAATATTGTATTAGCTTAATCTTTCAGCTATAGTATTATCGGGCTCGAATTAAAATTATCGTCTAACATTGGCTATATTATATAGAAGTGTATAGCGTGCTAATAAAAACCAAGAGTTGTGGTTATAGTGAATGTTTTTATAGTCTCTGGCAGGTATATATTATAATATTAAAATATTATAATATTATATTATATTTATTGATTTTTAAGATAAATTATTATAATATTATAAATTCGGATCAGAGTGTTGGCCTCTCCAACTCTGTGGATTTGTGATTAGGTATCACTTAAATCGTTAAGGCTAAACATAAATACGATATTATATGTCTCTTTTTAGCTAGTAGTGATGTGTACTAACTAATTTATGCATACGACTAGTAGCTGGTAGGCGGCTGGATAGATCATAGATTCCGAGTGGGTTGTGGAGATCAGTGTCTAGCGGTTAGGCTAGCTATCTGTCAGATCAGAAAGGACCTACTAAGAAAGCGAGTGTCTGGTGCTTCTTGCTTAAAGACAGGGGTTAAAGTGGGGGGGGGGCGCAGAAAATCCGGATATTCACAAAAAAACGCTATTTAAGCTACTTAAAAATCATATAAGTGTTAAATAATTTTACAATATAAAGCTCTATATCTAAGTAACATTTTTTTGATAAAAATGTGAAAATAAAACAAAACACCAAAGAGATAAACTGCTTTTGAATTTCAGATTTGTTGAAATCCGAAAATCCGGAATCCGAAATCCGAAAGCATTTTATAGACAAAGTTAAGAGTTTTTTTTAAAAAATTTTATCAACAAATTTTACTTAGGTACCATCATTATATTGTAATAGTATTTAACAATTATATGATTTTCAAATGACTTAAAAAGCGTTTTTTTTAAAAATCCGGATTTTCGGATTCCCATCACTAATTTATTAAATTTAAAGGCTAAAAGTTTATATCAAAGTTACCGGGTGGCGTTTGCCCACGGTTGGCGTGTAGTAGGATTAATGAATCATCTTATTATAACAGTAAAGTTGGCGGCTGCCTATTACAAAAATTATGAGAACTCTGTAACACTACTACCGGGAAACACCGTACCGAATTAAATATTAATGTGATTTCGTTGTAAACCGTGTTAAACGAACGCCTCGACATAATTAAGACGTGTCGAGTTGACCTCTACAAGCCGCGGTGTATTATCTCAGTTTACCGTAAACACCCTTAGTCGGCTTTTGATTTACACATAGCGACCGCCCATTGTCCTAAGTATGCCGTTACTACGGAATTCATCCTATTCTGTACGGAATCGTTAATGATGCCACATTTGCTTCACGGTTTGCGGTTCAGCCGGATATGGATTACTAATATACTTATATCCTTTTTATTTAAAAATGTCTTGTGTACTAAAATATGTTATTGTGTAATATTTCTAGAACATGAAACTTCTGTCCAGGAAGTTTATTTTAATAAGATATTTGTAAAATGTTAAAAATATTTTCTGGAAAAATTTGTTTTGCTGTCTGGGTAGCGTTTTGCGAAGTTCTTTGATTTTTAATTTCTTCGCGAAACTGAGCAAGACCATAGTTTCACAATGATGTGTTAACTTGTTTTCCTCTGGGCCGATTTATTCGAGTAGCAGCTCTATAGATCTGAAATCATGTGCAGGTGAGTCTTTGGTTTGTAATCTATTACAATGTGTAAAATGTATTGGTTTTATATTTATTCTAACAGAAAAATCATTTTCAGGGACAAAAAACACTGTAGAAATTCGAAAACAACAATATGCATAATGTTATATCTCTTTTTCCATACGTCCATGAAGACTCGGGGGGGGGGGGGTGGGCCCGCTTGGTGAGGCATTACTGCCCCCCGTGTTTCTGACGCCGCTTATTAGGACACAATAAACAATTACAACTTTGATGAGAACGTGCTCCACACACCTACCCTACAGCATAATGTTATACCTATATCGGACAAAAAATTAATTGTTTTCAGTGAAATATTTTCGTTTTCAAATCATTTGTACAAATAAGAACAATATTACAACGACAAAAACAGCAGAAAACACTAAAAACAATTTCGTATACTTTGACCCTATTATGTTTTGGCTTACTCGGATAAAATCACTTTCAAATAATAGCTTTGATGCCAATCTGTGGACACCGCACTTCACTTTAATACATTCTTACTATGTCTTACTTCTCTGATTTAGAAAAAGAGATGGAGCTATTTGTGAGGATAAATTCTTTAGTTAAAAATTATAATATATTACAAAATAGTACAGTGGGGTCGGGGTATAGTGGGGATGTAGAGGTCACAGGGATACACGTATTATTATAACTGAAAGTAATAAAATCACTTTTGAATAAACGCTTCGATGCGAATCTGTGGGTAGTTTGTGTAAACCACACATAGAAACCTAAAAACTGACTACGGTCATAGTGTAATTTTCCCCTATTTTTTGGTTTTTCCTTAATAAAAAAAATGTTTGACTACAGATTTTTTAGGAAATTGTATATGTTATAGCCCCATTCTAGATCTACCTTTGGTCTCATTTTCATACATAAACCCTTAAAACTTTAATGAAAATGCGAAAAAGAGAAAAAAATTTCACCCATTCTAGGAGAAAGGGTATACGATAATTGTATAGATTTTCAACGTTTATCGGTAGTACTATATCTTAAGAAAGTTCTATACAAATTTGGAACTAATTGGACTATTTTGAAAAAAATAGGGAGCACCGTAATTTTAAGTTGAAAAAAAGTAAATTTTTCGGGGGTTTTTCTCGATTTTGAAGGGAAAGGGATGAACTTTTTAAATTTTTGGTCTAATTAAGTACCTTATAGGTACGATTTCTATTCTTAAGAGCTGCTACACGAAGAAATTGGTTCAGTGACTTAAAAATATCGTGAGTACAGACAAAAAAAAAAAAAACTTCATTGTAAATACGAGTACAATACCTTAGTTATCTTGTAATAATAATTCAGGTTTGCTGATAGACACTACTATGAAATTTTTTTAATCGATGTTTACTTAATTGTAGTTCTATTTGTTTAATTTTTTTTTTTAATCCAATAGATGCTGAGTTATTAAGTATTAATTATGACGATTTAGCTGTTGTGTAATAATAATAATAATAATATATAACGAACTACTCTTGCCTAGTAGCCTGGAGGGTTTAATAAAACAGTGGTTTCCATTATTGGTGCCACTTGCATAACTATATATTGTATTTGAACGCGGTCGATTAGTACGGGGCAAATATATATACCGAGCTCTCGGGGGTCGGTTAATTTATAATGGCTGACCCTCGGCATTGCTGTCCGTATGTGTAATTATTTAAAGTGATACAATTTAGTTAAGCTCCGGTCTATTAATGAAGGCTCGGCTTGTAAATCAGTTAATGACAGTCGAGCTGGTCGGTGTCGGGACGCGCAGAGGGCGTGTGCAGGACCTACTGTATGTTGTTGGGCCGGGGTTGCAATTGGAGAAGAGGGGAGGTATAAGGTATAGGATTATAACACCCTCCCTACCGAACGATGTGTTTTAAACAATATTGCGATTATTATACTATTATAATACATAGCCTAACCTAAACGAATGGCGTACCATACCGATATTTGTATGTTGGTGTGTGTGTGTATAATAGATACGCAATTTTGGCTATGACAATACACTGTTTTGACCACAGTGCACATATATAATGAATATATTAATTATTAGTTGGGTAAGTGAACGCCGATAATTGGACATTTGTTGGGCAAAAGCAGCAGCAGCCGGCTAGTGAGCAGGTATAGCTAAGTGCACACGACATACATTATATAAACGTGACGGTATAATATGTATAGCTGGTGACGGAGATAGCACGTAGGAATAGAAAAAGGGGAAGCCGATGGAAACTTACACACACACACATTGAATTGGACCTAGGGGACGTCGCCGACAATATACACGCGTATAAGCACTGTTCACTATTTTAACAGCTACCTCGTGCCGAAATTGTCCATTTTGTGGTACATAATAAAAATAACAGTTCTTTAACGTTTTTCACTCCTCTGTTTGTTCTATTTTTCTGCCAAACCCGAAAACAATGTCACCAGACTTTTGAATGAAAATATTCCAATCAACAGCTGCAGTTAAAACGATGTAATATTGTTATTGATAACCTACCAGTACAGTAGAATTAATGTACTACACAGCTGTAGTCAGCACATTTGATAGCCGAATACTTTATTAACGTGTCTATAAGAACCGTAGTCCATGCCTGTCGTAAGAGGCGACAAAAATGGACCTGAAGGTGGGCGGCAGCGCCTTCAGTAGTGGCTATAGGTGGATGCTTCGTAAGCAGGTACAGCTATAGCCAGGTAGTAGTAGTAGGCGTGCATGGAGACCATGAACACGGCTACTATACTGCGATGTGGAAGGCAACGGGAAACCACCACATTACAGTCCCAAGACCAAATTCCTACAAACTCACTATCTATGAGGAAAATAGAAGACAGGGAGGAATGGAGGAGAATTGTAGGAAGGCAATACCAGCCGGAAGACTGAAAAACCTAAAGAAGAAGATAAGAACCGTAATTTTTTGAAGCTACTTTCTTGAAAAAGTAAAGACAAGGTCGTCTTGTCGATCCTTATGCAACTGGGCAGATTTTTAAATTTAACTTTAAGAGAGTGTTCTCAAGGTATAATGTTTATAGAAACCACTATCAAATTATCGCATCTTTCACTAAGCAATGTTAATTTTCTAAAAAAAAAAATAGCTCCTCGCTTTCATACTACCACTTTCTAAAACACTCAAATTGAGAAATATCTTTTTAGCTTTTCGAAAAAACGGGAACTTCAACTGTTCTCCCTTCGAAGAGTTTTTTTTTTAAATTAATTTTAAAACTAAATTTTTCAAGTTTCAAAAAATCATATTTTTTCGCTATTTTAATTTAATGTAAAGCAAAAAATAATCAAGAAATGAAAAAAAACTTCAAGACTTAGACTTGGAGCATAGAATTGACCTTTTTTTTAATGTCAATACCTTGATTATATAATAAAGTATAATATGTTCAGAGATATATACAATTAATATTACTTTTTGTTTTTGCATAAAACAACGACAGCGAACTGTGTGGCGTTCTCTTAATATTGTGATATTTTTTATTGTTTTTTGTATATGTGATGCGGAAAGTGAAAAAAAACCTCTTTTGGTATTTTCTGAATCTAGATTAATTTTTTAACAACTTGAGATTGTTGACCTTAGATGAATCTTTGTAGCTAAAAACAATGATAGATCCTTTTCCCGAGATCAATTTATACTACTTTAGGTTGCTATTCGGTTCCATGTTTTAACTTATGTCCTAATCCTAGGGACTCCAAGGTAAATCTATTAATAATTATTAAGAATCGATACTTTCGAACTTCATAAATATTTCGGCGTATTTCTCGAAATCAATATTGTCCTTTTCGTTTTTCGCACAAGATATTGTACATCTAAATTCAAATTATTTTGTAAATGGATTTTACTAATTTTACAAATTGCAATGGA